TCTTTGCTAAAAAAAAACCCAAATACCCAATAATAAATTAACCTCTTGCCGACCCCATGTAGCACATGTGTGGCAGAATAGAGGGTGGGCCTCAGGGCCGTGGATAAGGGCGTACCACCAGCCCTCCTGTAAGGGGCCCAGGCCTCCGGGGGGCCCAGGCAGCTGGGTGAATCAGATGTGGGCAAGGAGAGTGATTGGCATGGCGGGGGGGGTGGCAGTTACTAGAACCATAGAACCAACTACCTGTGTGGCTCTCTCTGCAGCAGCTGAAAGCTGGCTTCTTCTCCTCTCCCTCCCGCTGGCTTTCAGCTGCTGCAAAGAGAGCCATACAGGGGATCAGTTCCAGTAATTGTCCACCCCCCCCCACTCGTCACACCCATTATCCTCCCTGTGCACAATATGATTCCCCCTGCTGCCCAGACCCCCCCCTGTGTGCCCCCCACCCCCGTAGTGCTGCAGGATTCCCTCCTCTACTTCCAACCGGCAGCTGCAAGCACACAATAGGATCCTTCAGGATGGAGAGTGTGGGAATATGTCACATTTACCAGCCCCTTTCTTTTCTGAATGAACACAATGAGTGTGATCAGTACTGATCACTAACTCTCAGTCTCTGCCAATGATCAGTAGATGGCAGGACTGGCTCCCGATCATATGACCACTGTGACAGGCAATCACAATGGTCACAAAAGGGTGTCCAGTTTTTTCCTGCACCAGGCATAAAATGAAAGGACACCAAGGATGCATGGGAAGGGGTTAAAAAGGAAATTCAACTGTTTTATGGCAAATGCTACTTTGCATGTTGGTACATTCCTGTTTATCCCCCATTTATTATAAAAAATATAACAGAAGACAGATGAGACTGTGCAGAAGCTGAACTCTGGGAATAAAAGATTTTAGATATTTTCCATGTACCAGTAAGTGCTACACACGCTGACAAGAAGCATGTTGGAAGTAGGAGAGAGCTAAGTGATAAACCGGGACAGCCTGGGTTTAGCTGGAGTGGGTTGAATGATGCTTGCCATCAGACAGAGGGCATCTAGTAGCAGAAAAAATAGCACAGGGGAAATCTCTAGATTGAAGGTGAATATTTCAGCAAAGGCTGCTGTTTGCTATTTTTTCTTTTAATGGGCTTTTATTTATTTAGTTTTTCTTGTTTTTTTTGGCTGAATTTCTGCACTGTGCTGTTAGGGCACTGATTTTTGGTCAGTTAAATGGACTTTTAATTGGACAAACTAACTCACAGTGTGCTGATATACACTGTGTCTGCTGCAAACATCTACAGTATTTTTATATCATACTGTATCATTTGGAATTAATAGTTCAAACAGACAGCAAACTGTAGTCATGCAAAAAAATTGCCCCTATATAAGAAAATCTCTCTTCATTAGAAAGACAGCTTAATACTTTTTAGAATGAACGTATCTGACTTGCCTGTCTGCATTCAGCTGCTTTCAGTGAATTCTTCCAAATCAATATGTTCATTCTGTACAAGCGAAAAGAACATAGAGTATATTCAATTAGCAGCAAGGGCTGATGGTGGGGAGTTTGGATCTTGTCTTTTATTGTCTGCAATTATGTTGATAGTTGATAGAATTGCCTTCAGTCATAGCATCCTTGATATGAAGAACCACTTATTCCAAATGCCTACATGTTGCCTGAAGCCTTTAAACAGACTACCAAACTGTTTTTGCCATAAAATGAACTGGATTAATGGCTGCTTTTTAAAACTTCAACCACACAGGAAACAAAACAAACAAAAACATTTATTCCAGCATTACGGACTGCAGTGTGTTAAAAAATTATATATATATCCATATATATATATATATATATATATATATATATATTTATATGTAACACACACTATATTGCCCAAAATATTGGCACACCCCTCCAAATTATTGGATTCAGATTTTTTTAATCACCTCCATGGCCACAGGCATATAAAATCAGGCACCTAGGCATGCAGACGGCTTCTACAAACATTTGTGAAAGAATGGGTCGCTCTCAGGAGCTCAATGAATTCAAGAATGGTACTGTGATAGGTTAAACATGTGGAACCAATGTAGCGCTACTCACTTAAATAAAAACAAACATGTCAATCAAAATACCTAATAAATAAATAAAAAAATCTATATCCACTATTGTGAAATCATGCACATAAAAAGCATATATGTGATAAAACATAAATGACTAAAGTGAACATAATCATCATCATAAAGGAATATTACGTGCTCATTGTAAATGTATATATATATATATATATATATATTATATATACAGTTGTGTCCAAAATTATTCAACCCCCAATGCTGTAAAGGGGTTTAGGGACTATAGTGTACATTTGGAATTGTATTCAGAATCAAATCCTACAAGGACGTTGTAACTACCCAAATGCAACTAAAAATGACATCAATTGTTTATGTAATACAGTAGTATAATGGTTCTTATGTGGTTTCTTCATTGCCACAATTATTCAACGCCCCTTAAAGACTACCACTCTGAAGAACAGAGGTTCATACAGGTGCTTTCCATCAGGTATTGAAAACACCTGTGGATGTCACCGAGCAGCAATCAAGCATAATAAGCACCAATTAGGCAGCTTTAAAATGACTGTGATACTCAGCTCCTTCTAGACATTTACTGGTGTGGTTACAAACATGGTGAAGGCAAGAGAATGGTCCAGGAAGACAAGAGAAGAGGTGATTTCTCTTCACAGGAAGGGCAATGGCTATAAGAAGATTGCAAAGATGTTAAACATACCAAGAGACACCTTAGGAAGCATCATTCGCAAATTCAAGGCAAAGGGCACTGTTGAAAACGCTACCTGGTCGTGGCAGAAAGAAGATGCTGACTTCGACTGCTGTGCGCTACCTGAAGCGTAGAGTGGAGAGAAGTCCCCGTGTGACTGCTGAGGAACTGAGAAAAGATTTGTCAGATGTGGGTACAGAAGTTTCAGCCCAGACAATAAGACGCACACTGCGTAATGAAGGCCTCCGTGCCAGAACTCCCAGGCGTACCCCCTTGCTGTCTCCAAAGAATAAGAAGAGTCGACTGCAGTATGCCAAAAGCCATGTGGACAAACCACAAAAGTTGTGGGATAGTGTTCTGTGGACTGATGAAACAAATTAGAACTGTTTGGGCCCATGGATCAACGCTATGTTTGGAGGAGGAAGAACAAGGCCTATGATGAAAAGAACACCTTGCCTACTGTGAAGCATGGTGGAGGGTCAATCATGCTTTGGGGCTGTTTTGCTTCTGCAGGTACAGGGAAGCTTCAGCGTGTGCAAGGTACCATGAATTCTCTTCAGTACCAGGAGAATATTGGATGGAAACGTGATGCAGTCCGTCACACACCTGAGGCTTGGGAGACGTTGGACCTTTCAACAGGACAATGATCCCAAGCATACCTCCAAGTCCACTAGAGCATGGTTGCAGAGGAAAGGCTGGAACATTTTGGAGTGGCCATCGCAGTCACCAGACTTAAATCCGATTGAGAACCTCTGGTGGGACTTAAAGAAAGCAGTTGCAGTGCGCAAGCCTAAGAATGTGACTGAACTGGAGGCCTTTGCCCATGAAGAATGGGCGAAGATACCCGTAGATCGCTGCAAGACACTTGTGTCAAGCTATGCTTCACGTTTAAAAGCTGTTATAAACTGTAAAAGGATGCTGTACTAAGTACTAAGATTGAATGTCACTTGGGGTTGAATAAAACTGATAATGCTGTGTGAGCACAGAAAAGACATTTGTGGTTATTTCATTATAACTGTTATGTTATAATTTGTCTGACCTACAAGTGCCTCCTTTAATGTAAATGTAAGCAAGATGACTGAATGATCAAAAGCAATGTCAAACTGGCCAAAACACTCAATTTCAGTGGGGGTTGAATAATTTTGGCCACAACTGTACATAACACACACAACAACAATGTGTATTAACACATATATATAAACCCCATAAAGTGAAAAAAAATCAAAACGTGCATATATGTGAACTCGGTACATGCACCTAAATATAAAACATTAATATTTCCATAAAGTCCAAACTTAAAGATGATCACACTCAGGTGAACACAAAACACTCGTGCTGATATTTGTGTATAAAAGTGAGTTGATAGTTGAACTCATCCGAACACCGGCTGAATCAGCCTCTCACCTTAAGGATTCTTCCCTTGCGAGTCAAAGCGTTTGTTAGGATCCCTCTTACAGATCCTCCAGGTAAGTATCACTCCAAAAAACAGCTCACATTGTATATGAATCTCCCCCCAGGGATCCGCACTTCAACACTGCCTCCTTTCTCCAAGTAGAATCAAATGCTGCGCCAATCACTTATATGAAACATAAAAACACAAGCCTCCATTGTGTAATATGTTTATTATCAAATGTCACAAGCAATAGAAAGCGCACTTACATTAAAAATCGTGATAACAGTTCAGGGCTCCAATCCCACGCTTTTGGATCTAATCTGCATGGGTGTACAGGTGTACCAAAATGACCGCCACGCTGGAAATGCGTCATTACGTTGGGCCGACGCGTTGCGACACAGTGTCATGTGACTTCCTCAGCTCAGGTGCATGTACCGAGTTCACATATATGCACATTTTGATTTTCTTCACTTTATGGGGTTTAAATATATGTGTTAATACACATTGTTGTTGTGTGTGTTATGTATATATATATATATATATATACATTTACAATGAGCACGTAATATTCCTTTATGATATGATTATGTTCAGTTTAGTCATTTAGGTTTTATCACATATATGCTTTATGTGCATGATTTCACAATAGTGGATATAGATTTTTTATTTATTTATTAGGTATTTTGGTTCACATGTTTGTTTTTATTTAAGTGAGTAGCGCTACATTGGTTCCACATGTTTATGCTGAAGATCATTGGTATATGATTTAATGTGAGCAGCTTCTCGTGATTATTTAATTAATTTTTGAAGGTTTTCTGAGCGCAGGAGGTTCACACCATTACTGTGATAGGTTGCCACCTGTGCAATAAGTCCATCCGTGAAATTTCCTTGCTATTAAATATTCCACAGTCAAGTGTTTGTGGTATTATAACAAAGTGGAAGCAACTGGGAACAACAGCAACTCAGCCATCAAGTGGTAGGCCACGTATAATGACAGAGCGGGGTCAGCACATGCTGAAATGCACAGTGAGCAGAAGTCGCTCCCTTTCTGCAGAGTCAATTGCTAAAGATCTCCAAACTTCATGTGGTTTTCAGATTAGCACAACAACAGTACGTAGAGAGCTTCAAGGAATGGGTTTCCATGGCCGAGCAACTCCACCCAAGCCTTACATCACCAAGTGCAATGCAATGTGTCGGATGCAGTTGTGTAAAGCATGCCACCACTGGACTCTAGAGCAGTGGAGACATGTTCTCTGGAGAGATGAATCACACTTCTCTGTCTGGCAATCCGTCTCACCCCTTCCTGTTCCAACATGACTGCGCACCAGTGCACAAAGCAAGGTCCATAAAGACATGGATGAGCGAGTTTGGGGCCTGCACAAAGTCCTGACCTCAACCCGATAGAAAACCTTTAGGATGAATTAGAGTGGAAACTGCGAGCCAGGCCTTCTCGTCTGACATCAGTGCCTGACCTTACAAATGCGCTTCTGGAAGAATGGTCAAACATTCCCATAGACACACTCCAAAACCTTGTGGACAGCCTTCCCAGAAGAGTTGAAGCTATGCTACTGCAAAGGGTGGGCCAACTCAATATTGAACCCTACAGACTAAGACCAGGATACCGATAAAGTTCATGTGCATGTAAAAGCAGGCGTCCCAATACATTTGGCAATATAGTGTGTGTGTGTGTATATATATATATTTTATTTATTTACACACTGATCAGCCATAACTGTATGACCACTGACAGGCTAAATGAATAGCAGTGATTATCTCATTACAGTAACCATGGTGTCCCTGAAGTTGAAGCATTGAAAGCATAGAAAAAAAAGACATCACAGTTGGTTGTGTATGGGCCTGTGTAGTCACATACTGATCAGGGTGCCCATGCTGACCCGTGTCCATAGCCAACAGTGCCTTCAATAGGCACAGGAGCCTCAGAACTGGACCACAAAGCAATAGAAGAAGGTGGCCCGATGAATCACATTTTTTTTACATCATTTGGATGGCTAGGTGTGTGTGCGTTACCTACCTGAAGAAGAGATGATAACAGCATGCACTATGGGAAGGCCAGCTGGCAGAGGCAGTGCAATGATTTTGGCAATGTTCTGCTGGGAATCCTTGTTCCTGCCATTCATGTGGATGTTACTTTGACATGTACCACCTACCTAAACATTGCTTCTGACCAAGTACACCCCTTCATGGAAATGGTATTTTCTGATTGCAGTGGCGTCTTTCAGCAGGATTATGTGCTGTGCCACACTGCAAAAATAGTTCAAGAATGGTCTGAGGAACATGTTTGAGGTGTTTGACTTGGTCTCCAAATTCTCCAGATCTCAATCCAATTGAGAATTTGTGGGATGCAGTTGAAAAAACAAGTCAGATCCATGGATGTTCCACCTTGCAACTGACAGGACTTAAAGGATCTCGTATTGATGGTTTGCTGTCAGATAGCACAGCATACCATCAGAGGTTTAGTGGCATCTATGCCTCCACAGGTCCGGGCTGGTTCGGTGGCAAAAGGGAGACCTACTCAATATTAGGGGGTTGGTCATAAAGTTATGGCTGATCCATGTGTGTGTGTGTGTGTGTGTGTGTGTGTATTTATAGTATATCACACAGTATATTGTGACATGTTGGGGTTTTGTAGCTCAGTGGTAGTGCCAAAACAGTCAGTTTACTCCACATGAGAAATAGTTTTCAGGGCTTCCCTGCCCACTTTTTTTTTCAGACAAAGTAAAGTTCATAAAGGTATGTCTTCCCACACAGGGGGTTCTCACCATCAATACCAACAAAACATGACATTCAGCCTCTTGGCTCTCTCTTACAGCTTTATTGCTCTGATTTGTACCCCTTGGTCCTCCTGACTCTTAGTACCTTTTTGGTCCTCTTGACCATCAAACATGTCCCAGTGTTCATGCACAGATATTGCACATCCGCTCTGCATCTTTCCTTGCAGCTCCCTAGCTGCTCTGTCCCTCATGGACTCTCTCTCAGGCTCAGGCCTTGATCTGTCCTGACCTGGACAGTCTGGTGCGTGGTAACACCTCTCACGGTTCCCTTCACACACTGACCCCCTCCACAAAGGGAGGGTGAGGCTCTGAGCTCTAACATGAAGCCAGCACACTCCTGTGCCATTGGTGTGCTTGCTTCTTACAAAATCTGGCAAAAAAACACCATTTTAAATAGTGTGACGGGGTCACCCTGCCACAATATATATATGTAATTAACACTGCAGAAAATGTGGAATAAACATATTGTAAATTGTTCATTTGTAACGGAAAACTATATGTATCATTCATGATTAATTTTGTAAAAAAAGGATAATCTGCCCAGATACTTATTTATATTGTAATATGTGAGTCAGGGCTGTCACTTTGACAACTAGGTTTTGTTCTGTGGCTCAGGAATGTCTGTGTACCTCTTCCCAGGTACCAGCCTGATCCTGTTCTATATCTCCAGTGCTACAGAGCTGGCTTTGGCTTCCAATACTTAGAGCCAGCCCAGGCTGTCAAAGTGATAGCTTAGCCCCATTGAACAGACTGGATGAGCCACTCTCTTGGTTCTATCTGTGGACCTGGCGTTTGGTGCCAAGCCCCATCATCCACTTGGGATCTGTGTAGGTTACTATGTTGGCAGTTATGCTATTGGATCTGCCCCAGTGTGACTGTCATCTGTATCTGTAGAGCAGGTAATAGCATATAAACATATTGGTGCTGTATTGCTTCTGCATCAAAGTGTTCATTGGAATCATTGATGGTTAGTCCTTGGCAAAATCAGATGAAAGCTACATTAAAGAATGGGTTATAATCTCTGGCAAAATGAGAAATCTGAACTTTTTATTGTCTCAATTGAATTCAACAGAGCTGACTTTGAGGTGGAGAAAGTTTTTCAAAATATAGCACTGCTTTAAAACTCAGAGTTTCACAGCAGAATGCAAAAGAGGGGAATGTTTCATACAAATGATGATGTAGCACCGTTTAATGGCAGAGTTTAAGAGTCACAAGGTACTGAAGATAACAGATGGCTGTAGCTCCACAATAAGTTCAGACTTTACAGGTACAACAATGGGCAAACAGAACTCATTATAAAATCATAGACTTTTATTAGTATCTTCTTTAAAACAATAGTACAAAACCATATAAAAACCATAAATAATAATAATAATACTTTTAGAAGTATCATTACATTGTTATTGTAATAATTATTATTATTTTAGTGCAGCTACGTATTAGATGTTCTCTTTGCTTGATTGTTAATGTGAAGTATTTTCTTCTTTTTTTCGCCGTGGAACAGAAATTATGGAAAGATGCTGTATGATAAGTTCCAACAAAGAACATAAAATTAGCATTGCTAATATTGCTAATACGAATAATAAGAAAGAGGTTACAAAAGTGATGTTTGGAGTGAAATTAAAGGATTTATTAGAAACTTTAGTAGATTATAAAAAAAAAATACATTTTATATATATAGATATATATATTATATATATATATATATATCTATAAACAAAGAATTATAATCTGCAGTTAATACAGAGTAGTATTGAGAGATTAACCTGGTGTTGTCATGTCTCCTTAATAGCTTTTCAGGGGGAGTAACCTTCATCAGGTTATGGAAGGGAGCTGAATTGTGCTCTAATAGCATGGTGAAATTGGTAGTAAAAGATCAAATTCCTCACGTAAGGTCTTAAAGCCCTGCAGGATATAGAGGTGACATAAACATCTAGGATAGTATATAAATCAAGGAGGGAGGGATTAGAATACAAGGGGGTATTCAGTGAGGCTGACCACTAGGCAGTACATTTTTGAATACAGAAGAATAAGGAGAGGGTGATATTCAGTAGAACAGTGCCACAAAAGGGAGGAACATCTGTAAGCAAGCGAACACATAAAGAAGCTTGGGTAAAAAGATAATTTTTATCACATTAACTCTTCCCATGAGATCCAGAGAAAGGTCCATCCACTGTTTTTTTGTTGAAGCTGGGAGATCAGAGGGCAGACATTGTTTGGAATATATGTATGTAAAGGTAGTTGAATCCCCACTTCAAGATATTTGAAGGAGATTTCAATCTAAAGTCGTGAGCGCGGGTGGATCATCTGTACAGCCGCTAAGTCAATAGGGAAAAGAATGGACTTTCCCCAGTTGACTCAGAAGCCCAAATAATTGCCAAATTTATCAATCATGTCTAGCAGGCAACACAGGGACTCATTAGGGTCTGCCAAGTATATCAGGGTGTCATGCACACAGAGCGAGATAAGCTCTTCCAGAGTAACAATATTGAGACCTATTATATCCGGGGAGTTATATATGTAGATAGCTAGAGGTTCAATAGCAAAACAGGAGAGGAGATAAGGGGCACCCTGGTCTAGCACCTCAATAAATATCAGAGATATGATTATCCACCAGCACCCTTGCTTTCAGCTCAGTGTAGAGTTGGATCCAAGCATTTATTCGAGGTTCGAGCTTTTAGTGCTAAAACTAAAACACCTGCTCGTCACTCATAATGCTTGAATTTCACTCATGGTTATTTCAGAAAGACATACCAAGTCAACTATCTGCAGTTCCTGTTGAGCAGGTAGAACATACAACTAAAATTGCCAGTATTAGACATGTGCAATTAGTTTTGTTACAAATCTAAATTCAGAGGGAATTTGCGTAATTTGAAGATTTGGATGTATTAAAATTTCAACTAATCCACTATAAGTTATAACAAAAACAACAAATTCTTTTGTATTCATTTGGATGACATAATATGATAGTTTGGGCCTTTTGTTAATGTTTGGAGCATACGAAATAACATAATGACATAATGAATGATTTGAAATTGAGTTGGATCATTTCTTTTTTATTCTAGTGAGCGTAACATGAATATTCTAATAACATTTTTTTTTGTATTGGGGTTGAATTTTCTTTTTGTTTTGGGATTTAACTTGAGAGACCATTTGTTTCATTTGTATGTGTGCAACCCAAGAAAGTGAGTTGGAATGGGGAAATGAATTCAACTTTACAACATAATGAATGAATATGTAGTAATTAATTGTGTTAAAATGAATATAGCAGTCTTCAGTTAACCCCCTCTTAACACTGCCCCAGGCTGACTCTCTACATATATGAGGAGCAGTGGGAGGAGGAATTTGTGTGCTGGAGTTCGGGAGTGTTTGTCCTGGGATTCCATTGTTTCAAGATTAAGGAGAATAAAATATCACAAGTGATCTGATTTATAACTTGAAAAATTGTCAATTAAAGCCTAGTGTGCCAACCACGAGAGTGGGAGGCAACACTTTTTG